GGTCACCCGGAGTAGACTGACGGACTTCAATGAGTTGTAAGGAGCCTGGCGAAACCCAGTACTTATAAGCGGGACGTTTTGCAAAGCCACAAGCGGCTTGACTCTCCATTTTCATGGCATCATGCAATTGCAGCCAATGCTCATCTTTACGTTTTGGTGGATTATTAGCTAGCCTAGAACCTAACTCGGTTTGATATTTAGTTGTAACCAATTTACTTACATCGATCCATTCAGGACGATGAATTTGTTGGCCACTGAAAAGTAAGGTAAGGTTAGCTCAAACAAGGGCATGGTCTAAATCTAGATAGGTACTCTGAAAGGATCGGCAGTCTTGTACACAATCACGACAGCGGTAGCTGATCGCTATGTGATCAATCTGAGTCCAGACTTGAGAAGCAGAGGAAGGACACCCGATAGCACACCAGCGATGACTGTGCCGGTAGTTAGTACTAGCAGAAACAGGTTGTGGCCTGTGTACAGTTGCAGAAGAGGGTCCCCGTTATTTGACCCGCAATCGATAAATACCCATAGGTCACCTAAACGACTCTCTTCTGTGCCTAGACGCCTGATCTGGGAATTCAAGTCTCCAGCCAGTAGTACAATATCTGTCGAACTCATTTTTTGTGGAAGAACTGTTAACTGGAAGCAAGACTCGTCCTTGATCACATCAGGGCTACGATCTATTGGATCATGGATGAAGATGAAGAAAAGACATCGTTTTTCACACCGATTTCTTCGCACTTTGATGGAACTTTCTAACCTGACAGTGCATAACCGACTGTTAACGGGGATCTAATCGATTAGTGCTGCCTCAGCTCTAGCGCTTAGTGCGACACAAATGCCAGTGAAACCAGACGAAAGTGTTAATAGGGTCCCCGGATAAACGCACGTGAAATAAGATTGTTAAAGAGATAGGTGGAGACCGAATTTGTAGTTCTTCACTAGTCTTCATTATGGGTCTCGGATAGACAAGAGACATCGATTCTGAGACATAACCAACCCTACCTGTTGTACAATCTGTATTAGTGTGCGAACGTTGAAGGGGACCAGTTTGAATGGTATACGTGATTTCGGAAATACTGTTTCAGTATTCTTATTTGACGGTAGCATTGAATTTTCGACCAGTCAGTGACTCAAGATCGTTTAGATAAAACTGACTTTCCACCATAAGCGAACTGCTGTATAAGTTGAAAAATAAAATACGCAAAATGAGAATAAAAGAGAGTACATAAGTGACGTTTTATAAAGAAATAAAAACGAATGTTATCATATGAATGTGAATATAATTTGTCTGAATGAGCATTGAACCAGGAGTAATTTTTCCAATAATAATTATCGCTGATTTGTGTATCGGCTGTGATATTGCTCGAATGCCCAAACCGAAGCAGATGGTTTCCTTAAAGATCCACTGTCGGAGCCTTTGACCTAAAGATCTAGTCAACAAAGCAGTGGAACAACGGTAAAAGATGTGGTATCATGGTAGCCAGTGACCAACAACAGATTTTACACGCCATTTATTTCCTTAGTAGCTTAGAGCTCATGTGCACCATTGGTTTGGAATCAGAGTTTTTCAACTACTCTAGGTGGACCAAACCGGCTAAAGCTACGGATATTCGCTTTTCGTCCTCTCTATTTCATAAACAGCAGGCAGTGATTAGGAACTCTCTGACAATTTCTGTATATGCGTGGCCATTTGGGAGCACGTCGAGAAGAAGGGCGGACTCTCTCCACTCTCGACCGTATCATGGTGTCCATGTCGTGTGTGAGACAGTTATCCACATCAGACAATGGGTGACGGGTTGCGTAAGATCATGGATCGATTTAAGTTAGACATTAACAGCGTTGGATGCCGGTTCAGTGGTCTGGAGGCTGAGCATTCGCACCTGAGATAAAAGGTTCTGGGTTCAAGTTCCGCGTGCGGGTTCGTAACTGCGCGGTGCTGATGTGTCCCGTGCTAGGACGAAACGGCCGTTCAATGCCTACAGGTTTTCAATGGTGGTCTAGCTTACATCGACTTGTGAATTCAACTGTGAATATACTACAACCTCCACAAATCCCCATACTGATAATAATTTAGTCACAATAATAGAACAGGCTCGGGATTTGTGACCATAAAAGGAATTATCGACCTGGAATAGATGACTGGTAAATCCAATTTTTTAAAATAATAGTTAATTATATCAAACTTTAGAAAACAATTTCTCGTAAATTGCTCGTAATCATTTTTATTATTACGTTAGAGAGAAACTGTTTATAGACGAATGGCAAAACTTGAAACCATTGACCACTTTTAATCTTGAAATGCCATAGTCGATTAACAGATGTTCGAGTATAATTTAATTTCTCCTCTTAAATATCAAACCAGAATTATTTTGAAGGAATTGAAAAAATGTAAAAGAATCACATTTTTTAGTTTTGAATAGAAAGGCATACGATCAAGAAAGAACTGGTTTCTTTACATTTTTGATTTATGGTAAGAAAAGATTTTCCATAAACGAAAAAATCCCTTTATAGATCATTAATTGTTGACATAGCAGAACTCATAATTGTAGTTGATCAAATAAAGAATATGTATGTTCAAGTTTAACTGGGACCGTATTGTATTTAATATTTTTTCATTGATATAATGTAGGCAACTTGGATAAGCACCGAACACACAGGATCACAAATTTGGTTTATACAATTTTCCCTTCTTAAAAATAATATCAAGTATTTAGAGGATCAGATTTAAAAGAAATTGATCTTTTCATAGGCTCTTGTGAAGTTTTTGATAAATGTTATAATGCGATTATTTTAACAGAACTACTTCATCCTTTTGATTGGTAGTGGTTTATTTTCGTATGGCTTGCTATTTCTACTTGAGCATTGTTATTAATGGTACAAAAGAATGATATAAATAATCAGAATTGAGTCTTATCCAAAACAAATCTCTTCAGTAATAAAGTAATAACATGTTTCTAATATATCAATAAGAAGAACATTCAGTTACTGACGTTTCAAGATTTAGTGTAAATCGATTTTTTTTTTCACAGAGAATGAATAATCTACTTAAATTAATATCAGTCTAAACAGTATTGAGTAACAAATAAAAATATTTAGCGCAATCAAAACAAATCTGACTATGCTAATATTAATTTCATTCAGGTCAAAGGTTGTTCTATGTGAGACATTGATGTATGTTTTCATGCATATGTGAGTTGATGTGGAAATTGTATTTGTAGTATGAGGGAGTAGGAGTAGAGTTAATTTGTATGAATGTTCAGAGTGTGAAATGTGAATCGACTAAATATGATTATTTGAACAAATGTTTCATATTGAATGGATAGTTATGCCTCCTTCTTAACTAAAGTCAATGAGGTTTAGAATCATATAAAAGCTTCAACCGCTCACCTATCTATGACTGCTCGAACTATTTTGATAGCTGTTTAGTAAATACAAATAAATACACATGTCTCAAGCAGAAACAACATTTGGTATAAATGACGTGATCCGATTTGTTTTGATTGCATTAAATATTTTGATTTCTTACTCAGTACTGTTTAAACTGATATTAATTTAAGTCGATTATTCATTCTCTGAAAAACCGACTTATACCAAATTTGGAATGTCAGGAACTGAATGTTTTTCTCATTGGGATATTAAGTTAATTAAGTTAAAATTTCATAATGATACATACGGAGTTCTTTTAGTGTAAATACTAACATTCGAAATCATCATCCATTAACAGTCTAATATTCATTAATGCCCGATATATTTGTTAACCGAAGCAATATGTGATCTCACTGGGATTAGTTTAAGTATGACTTTATACCATTGATGCACAAATAGCTAGTATTTAGAGTAATTCGTTGCATTTCACCTCTCTTTGAGTGATATCATGCACGTCAAAATTCTCCTCTGTTTTGTATTAACGCAGAAAATATACACTATTGTCTTAGTGACGAGAACATTCACATATACAAAAATTAGTGCTTGTAGTCTATCTTTTCAGTCTCCAAATTCACTGGACTTAGAGTTTGGAATTAATACTCCTTATTTATTGGTTTGACTATCTTTGATGTTGCATGAAAATAAGCCTCAAGTATTTTAGTTTCTGTCAATCACAGTTTAACAGTATTCTCACTATCATATTTCTAAAGTAAATAAAGTGAATGAAATTTTTCTGTGAGAATGATTTATTTTTTCGTTTAAATAAGTATGATGATTTTTTAAAATCAACCTGTCGACAGACTTTATATGCGCACAACTATACATCAGATTTGAAACGGTTTAGAAATCAAGTTGGATGAAAAAATATGAAAAACCTCCCTCTTATTTCTGATTATAATGAACGTCAGTACTGAGGCAATTGTTGCAATTGTCTAAATGTTTATTTATCAATTGAGAATAGTCGATATAATCATAATATGCTAATTATTGTTAGTTATATTTCTTATTTGCTCACTAATAAGAGTTAAATTGTATTATCAGACATATCCATATTGTAGGTAATCCGGGAATAGAGCAGAACAGTCAACATATACCTCACTACAGAAGTAAACAATATTCCTTAGTTTTGACTGATTCTGTAATTGAAATAAACACCGAAAACTATTATCATGGTTTAAGAGAAAGTTTATTTTTAAATTGTTTAAATGCAAATACAATATAAGACGAATTTTTAATATTTGGTAGTATCCTGTTTATTGATTTAAATAACTGGTGAAAAATCACATGTGCGCGTGGGAATGTTTAAGGTGAGGATTGTTATAATGTTAGTTAGATCCAATCGTTCTGTACCAGTAAATATAAAAAAAACGATTAAATATCATAAGGAATCCATCGGCTCAAAGAGGTCATAAAATAGAAAGTGTATAGTCTCAAAGAAGACATAGACATCTAAATGTTCCTTAATTTAAATCATTGTGTCATATTACACATATTTTATGCAAAAATTAATACTAGACAATTCAATATTTTAATATTGTCATTCATCTCGTTTACAATTTAATAGCAAAAACCCCCCCACTTAAGACCACTAAATTAATATCTCTTTCTTTTATCAAGCAGCTGTTTCATTGTCAAAACATTTCTCTTTAAGTCTTCCCTCTCTAGGATTTGACTTACGACTGCAAATAAGTTTTAAAAATCCAGTTCGAAATTTTTCAGATAAAAATGCATACAGAATTGGATTGATACTACTGTTTCCGTAAGCCAAACAATTTCCTAATATTTGTATTATTCTAAATAAATCTGTTTCCGGGTCTTTTGCATAATATTGTATTAAAAAGATAGCATGAATAGGTAACCAACTAATACCAAAAACAATGACTACAGTCACAACTAAGCGTGTAACTCGTCTCTTTGAACGTTGTGCCTCTGCTGAACGTGCCATTTTTGAAGATGGACCGCGACGTAGTCTCAATATTAGACATATATATAACAAGCAGATTACAACAAATGGGAATAAATATCCAAACAGAAAGAAAAGGAGAAAAAACATTTGTCCGCCCTGTCGGTTATCTCTTGCGATATTTGTTTGTGCATCAAAATTGACTAACCATGAATATGTACAATATTCCGTAACACAAGAACTTTCACCCCCTTCCGGTGGGCCTTTTACTAAAATTGCACCAATAAATAAGGGTATGTTTGTAACCAGCACTACGGTCCAAGTAATAAATACTGCAATAGTAGTGTTCTTCTGTGTACGAATATGCATACATTGAATGGGATAGACTACAGCCACAAAGCGATCCAAACTCATCAATACTAAGGTGTAAACACTGCAATACACGGAGACATATGAAGAATAATAATAAATGCGGCACAATGATAATCCCAATGGCCATTTACCAGCCACATAGACTATCGCTGCAGATGGAACACAAATTACAATAAATGCCATATCAGCTACTGCTAATGAGAAAATTAAAATATTTGTTGTATTACGCATTTGAGCGTTGGCTAGGACAACGATCATCACAAATAGATTACCAACAAATCCAATAATTAGAATCAGGCCAAAAACAACTGGAGTTACTATACGGGCAAAAACTAAGAAGACGTTGAGCTCATTCGATTTAAATCCTTTCAAACATGATGAACTAGATGCTTTTGAATTAGTTCCTGAAGAATGAATATATGGTTCAGTTACAACAGTTGAAACATTCATTTGATCTTGAATTGCATGATTGACTCCCACAACAAATCCGATGAATAACCATATCAACCAACAGGAATACATTTTCATGATTTATATCACACTGACAGTTTCATTCTTTTAAATATTACGTTAAAAGTGATAATCTGTTAAAATAAGAACATAAAGTACAATACTTCGTAACGTGCATTCAAAGAATTTATTTTTTGAATTTATTGGCAAATAGGAAGCAGTAGGATACATCAATGAATTATAATCAGTGATTCGGCAATTTTAATACACTTAAACAGAATCAGAGTCATAAGTGGTTTTCCCACAAAATATTTGTATCAAACATATCTGGTGTATTTCGATAGCGTGGTATATCCACTAAAATTTCTCGGGTTTTATATCCTAATCATTCCTAAAAACAAAATCATTGTCTAAAAATAGACTTTTAACAATGCAGCATAATGATTTTTTGAATTATCTTAAGTGGATTTGACCCAGCTTTTCTTTCGTTAAGTTCAGTTTCGTTTAGATGTTAATTCAAATCGGTAAATTAATTTCTTGTTAATGAAGTAGTTTTTATTAAATATTTTATCAGTGAGCAGATTAAGTTAATGTCAGAGAGATTTATTGATTTATGGGTACTCAACGACCACATTATTATAATGAATCTCTAGTTCATGTTTAAGAGCGATAATACGACATATTACACCTTTACAAGCTGACTGAGACGTCGTTTCACTGTGGAATTCCTGCCAGAGTGGTTTTAGAAATGAAAGTTGGTATAAAACTAATCAAGTTAATTAAATTACATATGAATTTATTTTTGATTGATGTTTATTCACTATTGTTCACCAGTTATATAAATATATCACATTTTCGTCAACCCACTACTGGCTCTACTAGTAAAAGAACATTAGAATTACTCAATACAATGTCAACACATAGCATCAACGTATAAAAGAAATCTGCAGGTGCTTTTTTTAGAGTTCTGACGACCACAATATATGGCTACCGTTTTCTAACGTCATCCAACTTATTTTTTTCATGTTCCATCTTGCTACTTCGAAAACATTTTAGGATGGATATTGAAAAGTCCGATGTGAAGAGTTGTAGTGTGATATGTGCTACTGATGTCGATAGATATAAGTAGTATGTATCATCAATCAAAAGTGAAACACCTGGCGGCAGAAGGTTAAGAAGATCGAAGAGAATGAGAACAAAGGATGATTGGTTCAGAAATGAATGAACAACAAAATCTTAGACGATTGATTGACATTTCGCAAATGAAGTGTCTACAGTATGGTTCTCAGATTTTACTAAGCGATTCTGTAATCTCGTGTTCCAATTTATTCGATTGTCCCCACTTGTGTTCTCGTTCACTACAATAGGAAATGAATAGCACATTATGTTTCCTAGTTGCTGCAGATAAGTACTCTTTTTCGTTTTTTTCAATTTTATACAAGTTTTTGGAGAGAAAAATCGTTGTATATCGTCTAACTTACATATCGGGACATTACTACCCTTACATTTAGATTTGTAATGATTAACGGTTGGGTAATGTGGTTTTCTTATTCTTGAGCTTTCGTCTTACCTACTAACTATTACCGTAACTCCTTCTGTTCACAAGTCATTGTAATTGAGTCTTGAGTCTGTTACACCGGTTGTTACCGTGAACACCTGATTTTTTGGTACATATGTTTCAAAATTTTGTGAGCTTTGTTCTAGCTGTCTATGTATTTAACTATGCATTTTTTTAAAGTTAGCTAGATTTGCTGGAAGCTCCAGCGGTTTTTTCTACTATTTCTTTCCATCTTCTTGTTCGTTTGTGTGGAAGTAAGCGTCTGAAAACCAAATCAGCCTCAACATAACAGATTACTTAGTCACAAGACTACACTAAATAGCATAGTTTACCGAATAAATCAATAAGATACGAGTCAATTCCTTTGCTTATCTAATTTTAAATGTGATGGGAATTCCAATTTCATCAAAACAACATAAATTTTACGTGAAGATATTCAACCTGTAAGGGTTTAGTCGTAATCCTATTTTGATTAACTTCAATTTAATCAGTTACTTGCAAAACAAGACACACATAATGTAAATCACTCTTTCATACTTTTACATCAAACTTTAGAGTCACTGGTTTACACTACTTAAATAACTAGTAAACGACCAAAAAATAAACTTTCCTTTTTCAACGTAAACTGAAAATGTTCATAAATGAAACATTTTAATAATATGAAACACAAAAATCAGAAGTACCTTTCTTGGATTCTAAAATACATTTAACGTTAAATATACGGTAATTTGTGAAATCAATAAAGCGGATCTTAAACGTTATGAAAACCAAGTGGTGCTTGTAGCATTTCTTCTATTAAACTCAGAACCTTAATATGTGTAAGGAATAATCTGAAAATATAATAATTACAAACTCCGCCTGGAGTCCCTCCGGGGGCTACTGCCGGTCCCAAGCCCGGATAAAGGAGGAGGGTTGGGCATGGGGTTAGCGTCCCCATCCCGTAGAAAACTAACTCGCTAAAAAAACGCTAACCAGAAAAAATTATTCAAACCTTTTAAACTCTGCCCTGGGAGTCAGAAGGTCTTCATTTAGAAGAATTATGACGCCTCATGATGAAAGCCGAATTCCTTCGGAAGTTACGAGGCCGATGCCCCTTCTGACAACCAGAGCGACCATTTATTTAGGTACATGGAATGTTCGTACAATGTGGGACACCGGAAGAGCCTTCCAAATTGCTGCAGAAATGAGAAGATACAATCTAGAGGTACTTGGGATCAGTGAAACACATTGGACACAAGTAGGACAACAACGACTAACTACAGGAGAGCTCCTGTTATACTCCGACCATGAAGAAGAAAATGCACCACATACACAAGGAGTTGCATTGATGCTGTCCAAACAAGCGCAAAATGCACTTATAGGATGGGAATCTCATGGACCAAGGATCATCAAAGCCTCCTTGAAAACAAACAAAGAGGGCATTTCAATGAACATCATCCAATGCTATGCGCCTACCAACGACTACAATGAAGACGCTAAAGATCAATTCTACAATAGGCTGCAGTCAATCGTCGAGAAGTGCCCAACAAAGGACCTGACCATTCTGATGGGAGATTTCAACGACAAGGTTGGAACGGACAACACTGGATATGAAGACATCATGGGACGACACGGACTGGGAGAAAGAAACGAAAATGATGAGAGATTTGCAAATCTATGTGCCTTCAATAAGCTGGTCATAGGCGGCACCATATTCCCACATAAACGCATACACAAAACCACATGGACTTCACCGGATCACTCTACACAAAACCAAATCGACCATATTTGCATCAACAAAACGTTCAGGAGGACTATAGAGGACGTGAGAACCAAGAGAGGAGCTGATATAGCATCAGATCATCACTTGCTGGTCGCCAAGATGAAATTGAAACTCAAGAAGCACTGGACAATGGGGCAGACAGTATCACAAAAGTTAAATACGGCCTTTCTTCAGGATACTAACAAACTCAACAAATTCAAGATAGTCCTCAGCAACAAGTTCCAGGCCTTTCATGATCTACTCAATGGAGAAGGAACTACTGTGGAGAGCAACTGGAAGGGGATCAAAGAGGCAATCACTTCAACATGTCATGAAGTCCTGGGCCACAAGAAGCACCATCACAAAGAATGGATCACTGTTGATTCACTGGATAAGATTCAAAAAAGAAGAAACAAGAAGGCAGCGATCAATACCAGTCGAACAAGAGCAGAAAACGCCAAGGCACAAGCTGAATACACGGAAATAAACAAACAAGTGAAGAGGAGCATCAAAACCGACAAACGTAAATATGTGGAAGATTTAGCAACGACGGCGGAAAAGGCTGCAAGAGAAGGAAACATGAGACAATTGTATGACACGACAAAGAAACTCTCTGGAAATTGTCGCAAACCAGAACGACCAGTGAAAAGCAAGGAAGGCAAGGTAATCACCAACATTGAAGAGCAACAAAACAGGTGGATAGAACACTTCAAAGAACTCTTGAATCGACCAGCGCCACTGAACCCACCCAACATCGAAGCAGCACCCACGAACCTCCCAATCAATGTTGGCTCACCAACAATTGAAGAAATCAGCATGGCCATCAGACAAATCAAGAGTGGCAAAGCAGCAGGACCGGACAACATCCCAGCAGAGGCACTAAAGGCAGACGTAGCGGCAACTGCAAGGATACTCCACATTCTCTTCAATAAGATTTGGGATGAGGAACAAGTACCAAAAGACTGGAAAGAAGGACTTCTAATCAAAATACCGAAGAAAAGCGATCCCAGCAAGTGTGATAACTACAGGGGCATCACTCTTCTCTCAATACCGGGAAAAGTCTTCAACAGAGTATTGTTAAACAGGATGAAGGACCGCGTAGACGCCCAACTTCGTGACCAACAGGCAGGATTCTGTAAGGATAGATCGTGTACAGACCAAATCTCAACTCTACGGATCATTGTGGAACAATCAATTGAATGGAATTCATCACTCTACATCAACTTCATTGACTACGAAAAGGCATTTGATAGCGTGGACAGAACAACACTATGGAAACTTCTTCGACACTACGGCGTGCCTCAGAAGATAGTCACCATCATACAGAACTCATATGATGGATTACACTGCAAAATCGTGCATGGAGGACAGTTGGCAAAGTCGTTCAAAGTGAAGACGGGTGTCAGGCAAGGTTGCTTACTCTCACCCTTTCTCTTTCTCCTGGTGATCGACTGGATCATGAAGACGTCAACGTCTGAAGGGAAGCGCGGGATACAATGGACATCTAAGATGCAGTTGGATGATCTAGACTTCGCAGACGATCTGGCCCTTCTATCCCAAACGCAACAACAGATGCAGGAGAAGACAAACAGTGTGGCAGCAGCCTCAGCAGCAGTAGGTCTCAACATACACAAAGGGAAAAGCAAGATTCTCCGATACAACACAGAATGCAACGATCCAATCACAATTGACGGAGAAGATTTGGAAGATGTAAAAACCTTTACGTATTTGGGCAGCATCATTGATGAACAGGGTGGATCTGATGCAGATGTGAAGGCGCGGATCGGCAAAGCAAGAGCAGCATATTTGCAACTGAAGAACATCTGGAGCTCAAA